AAAAAAGTGTCTCTCTTTGGCAAGGACAGAAATGTGCACTTTAATGTTATAGACGCAACTCCATTGTTCTGTTCTGCTCGCTTTTTTTTTATTACTCTACATAATTAGTCGCATATATGTGTTAAGTATTATGAAATATATTCTAGAATACCATTTTATCCAACGTATATTAAAGGTTTATTAAAACGATTTCATAAATTAAATTAAAACATAATTTTCTTATGCGTTTAATTCAAATTAAAATACTTTTATAATTACGAAAAATGTGAGAAAAAATTAGCTATTTAAGACATTCGAAAATTGAAATATTTTATACACACATACACATTTTATTGTACAGAGAAATAAATTTATAAAATATGCTCAGTTAATTTATATTTATCAATGTTAAGACCGTGGGAGAAATTGTCCCACATGGTCAGTTTACGGAATTACAGCACTAAAATTTGGGGTTCAGTTCTCCGTAGTAGACAGAGACAGACATTGTGTAGCTTTATGTGCTGTGACAAAACAAACAACCCAGACTGGAAGAAATATTTTTTTGCATGTATACACAACCTTGTTTAAGGGTTAAGCCCTATATTAATAATTAGTATAGCATAGATAAAAAATATATTTTTGCAGAGCCAACCAATTTGTAATTGTAGGAAATTAACACTTAAAAACATGACTACCGTTCACCATTCTTTATAACCGGAATCTCCATTTTAAAAAGTTTCTTGGAAAACAGTATTACTTAACTTAGCAAGTGAATCTAACAAGTTTTGGTTTCAGATATATTTTGGGTTTCCACAGTGCTGGTGGACTAAAATTAATGACAGTAATAACTTTTTCTTATAAAATTATACACTGAAGAAATGATATAGCATACAAGTCCAGTAGATTTCACAGTATCTACCTTTTTAGCTTTCAAAAGTTATTTGATTTTTGACATCTTTACTAATAAATGTAACACATGATTTGTGACAGTTTAATCCAAGCTTAACACTAAGTACAGAATTAAAATTTTTACTGTCAAAGAGATGCCTCATTGATACCAATAACTTGTTAAGTCAGTCATCCTGTTGGAAAAATAAAACTGTCTTAGCTGGTGCAAACCTATTCTAGACTTGTTTTTTAATATTTTTTTAAAAAATTGATCCTATTTTTTGTCTCATGCTCAGACATAATGCTTAGGGACCAAACATCTCCAAATAGTTGTGATGTTCAGACTACCAGATTAAGAGATGAAGTCCACCATCTTCAAGATGTGACACTCACCCTAAGAAAAGAGGTAATAATAAGTTCAGTTGAGTGTTTTATATTAAACTTCTTATTAAGTGAAAAATACAACTTATTAGAAAAGATGAGGAAAAAGAGCTTTTCTATTTTATAAAAACAGAACATTAAGAAACTCAAAGCAAATTTATGATGTATCGCTCAAGTAACTTTAGTTACAAAAATGAAGGACTTAAACAATGGAAGTTATTTTAACTGGAAAATAAAATGAAGGTGATACAGTTCAGGTGTTTTAGAATGTTATGGAAAGTCTATTTTGGTTCTGGACTTATGATATTAGTAGTGGAAACCTGCATATCAAAGATCAAGTTTGTGTTATTGCAACTCTACTATTTCAGTTAATCATCTGACAAGTATCTGATGAAGTGGTGTTGGCTTAGGTTTTTTAAAGATTTTGAGTTGTCAAAAACTGCCTTGCTAGCAGGAGGTAGTGGGTTAACCCTTTAGCTCAGTTAGTAGAGCACTTTAAAAAATACCCCCCCCCCCCAAAAAAAAAAAAACAACAACAACACATTGTTAAAAAGTTCCAGAAAAAAAATTAATTTAACTTTTTAGTACTGATGATCAGGGATCTCTGGTAATTTGCTATTTTTTAATTATGTTATGTTATGATTACCATTGAAATTAAATGTGTTATATTATTGTTAATATTGTTTTTATATCTTTTCTTTCTAGTCTTAACTTTCTTCCAGTTCCAATGCTATTATACACTTGACAGTTAAATAGAAATCTCTAAACTTTTCTAATTTATCTTATTAGTTATAAAATTACACATTTTGTTTTTTACTTAAATTGCAGTGAGACTAGTTGTCTTTGTAGTAATGAGTCTTATATTGTTGGTGATCTTATATTCTTACTATATTTTATTTTGTGAATTTAATTTAAATTTACTCTTTGCAGCTTTGGCTCCCCAGTGGCTCAGCAATAAGTCTGTGTGCTTACAATGCTAAAAACTGGATTTCATTACGTTTGGTGGGCAGAGCATAGACTGTCCACTGTGTAACTTTGTGCTAAACAAAAACAAACAAACTTTGCAGCTTGATTATGAACTTTTGTTTTTCACTTGACTGTGTTAGTAAATGTCAGTTATTATGAGCTGCAATGTTGATTATGATTGATATGATTGTATAAACTTGAAGTAGTACATGTATCATTTTGTATTGTACTCTGTAGTAAATAGTAGTGGAAAATTTCCATTATGTATTGCTTTGTTTTGTCCAGCTAGTTCTTGTATGTATGACATACCTTACATGAAGGTATATTTGTAAATTCATTATTATATTCATTATTCATCATTTCATAGTGTTAATTGTTATAACATGTAGCTGTGTAGAAAATATTATGCATTAAAATATTTCTTTGCAATGCCAGTCAGTTCAGGCAGAATTAAAGTGAACATTGGTGAACATTCAAAAATTCATTATCAAGACCAAAATTAAGAACTTCATAAAAATGATGTTTTATCACGGGTAAAAATAGATTGTCCTTTATATGAAATGATTAAAGATTACATGATTAAGTTGACATAGGACACAAATATTTATTCTAGTTTTTATCAGGAAATGTATATTTTCAATGCATTCAAAAGTAGAGGAGGAAAGTTGAATTAAACGTGTAGATAACATCAGAGAATATTTCCATTGGATGTAGTGTAAAATATATTTGTGATTAACTTGGGGCGAGATAAGATTTGTGATTAACCTATTGGGATGAGAAAAGGTGTGTATTACCTTTACTTAATGTTCATCTGAGAAGTATGTAGTTGATACTTCTATTCAGATTTCTAATGCATATTTCGAATAAAATATATTTTATTCATAATTGTGTTATTTAAATTTCATAAAATATTCTGTATAGTTTAATTCTTAATTTCAGAAAAGAGATCTTGTTGGTCGTATTGATCATCTTCTAGAGCTCTGTGTCTGTAAGGCCCAGTGTATGCATGATGGAAATATTTATGTTGAAGGAGAACAGATTTATCCAGATCAATGTACTGTGTGTGAGTGCCAAGTAAGTTTAGAATAAATTTTTACTTAAAAATCAGTTTATTATTATTAACAATACTATGTTGATGATTGGTTTTAAAGTAATTCTTTAAAATTCATTTTGACTAAAAATTGTGCTATTAAGAAAATTATTATTTTTGATTTAGATTTTCCTTTGGGAATGTAACATTATTCACATTCCTGCAGAAAATTATCCTGTCTGAGGCCTAATCATACCATTGCACATAAAGAAAAGTTCCCAAACTAATCTTGTTGCTGTATTGGAACACAATGTACAGAATAAATTAACATATATAACTGTAATTGTGCTAATCTAGCCTGACCTCCTAATTATATTCTTTACTTGTACCTTGTATTATCTTGTGGATAAGTCCTACTTCATAAAGCTATTTATTTTATCTCCATATTTTCATATAAGAAAGAAAACTGTGATACATTGTTTGCACAGAACATTATGCATCTTTATGAGATAAAAATTCTGTTAAACTGATATTGTTCTAGTAATTTAAAGTGTTAGTTAAATAATAGCCCTCTGTAAATTAATATATATATACACTTTTGTTTTATTGCTATGGCCTTTAACTCTTTCATTGCCATTTTCATAGATAAATAACTCTCCAATGCCAGGTTTATTTTTAGATGCAAATTGAAAAACAAAGAGACACATGTTTTAATATTTCATTACTTCTCAGAAACTTGAAACTAGTAAACTTTAGGAAGTTTGAAGGAGGGAAGGTCCTTTCTTTGATATGGTACAAAATTTCAAATTCAAATAGCAGTGCTTTAGAGGGAGACATATATGTGCTTGTGGAAGTGAAAGGGTTAAAGAGAGTTGAAGGCTTGTCCTGTTTCAATAAAAAATTTAAGCAAATAAATAATACAGTGAAAAACCCTCAACTGAGCACCAATTGCTTAGATGAATATAACAAATTACACTTTATCATGATTTATGTATAGTGGAAAAGTGACACAGATATTTATAATATTGAGTGTTTTCTTTGTAACAATACACCCAAAACTTAAATTTTTTTATCATATGATAAAA